CACCCTCATCAGCACCACCATTAATGGCGAATCCCGTCGTTAGAACTGCAGGACAATTAATGTTCACCTGGAGTCTGGTGGGAATAGAGTTGGAAACACTGACCTCGTATGACAGGCTGAAGTTGAGAAGCAAGAAGCTAGATGTGTATCAGGTACTGATGCAACACGTAGCCAGGGACAATTCAGGCTTGAGCCTGGCTAGAAGAAAGGATGCCACGTGTTTCTTGAGATGGATAATGTCGATGATGTCTGATAGCACCATCCTGGCATGCCAACAGAGAGCAAGCGGAAGTAAAACCATGGAAAAAAGAGTCTCAACGATCATCTTGAACGTGTATCAGAGTACAGGAATAGAAAAGGAAGATGGTTCCAGACAATCCCTAGAGAACCACAGAAAGCTAGACGAGGTGCGGAGGTTTTATAATAAGAAGTTCGAAGAAGAACATGATGTTCACCGTAACCTGGCCTCGTCAGAGCAGTACTCGAGACTCAGCGAGAAGGGCGAATACCAATATGTGTCGGGAGTAATGGGAATAGCCTACAACCCCTTCTTAGACTCGGAAACTGGAGGTGCCCACAGAAACCATGAGGTAGCGGAGCTACTGAAGTTTTGGACAGAAAGAATAATGGAAATAGACACGGTGGAAAAAGAGGGGCCGAGCATGGGCCTGATTCTTGAGAAAACACCAGAGGTGGTAAGCATACCGCGCTCGAACAAGAGAGTTGAAGTGAACATGGGCGATGGAAATGGCTTGTTAACCACGAACTTGGGAGTGGTATGGAAGCTACTAAGACCCTCCTGGTGTCCACATCCCCACGCGAGTCTGATCGAGGAAACCACCGAGCGAGTGAGGTTAGCACCAACGGAAGATGAAGATCTGGCAAAGTTGAGTGTGCTGCATAAGCTAATCTTACCTCAGATGCAAGAGCCAAGCGAAAAGACGAACAATCCCGGGTCAGCGAAGAAATTTGAGCCGGGTAGCTGTCTGGATTCGACGTGTGGAAACGGAGAGCACACCTGCGATGGACGGTCATGCGTCAGAATACTGTCCTTTCAAAAAGAAGACCTGGTCACTTGGTTCGAAGACATCACGGAAAGGGAGAGAAGTGAAGTGCAAATAGTAGCGGAGTGTTACGCAAGAACCACGGTGAATATAGCGACAGCTCTCGGATTCTTCTCGAGAATGTGTAGTTTGCAGTCATTGGAAAGACTAGAGTCTGAACACCATTGGGTGACGGCGTTGAGCGTAGAATCATGGCCTGGGGTGTTGCAGGTGACTCAAAAACACATCCGGAGCTGGAAAGTTGGTCTTGAGGCAGAAATGGGGTTTCCCATGAGCGAAGCTTATGGCCTGCCATTGAACGCAAAATCCCTGATAGGGTCAATGATGGCCAACTTGTGCGGAAGTCAGTACCAACTGCACATGGCGATGGTGGAAGCATCCAGCCAGAGAGTACTGGTGGACAAGGCCTTCTCAGTGCCCAAGTGCGTGAGGTTGGCTAGGATATCGCATCACTCGCACAAGTTGTTGAGAAAAATCAGAGGGACAGTACCAAAAGAATTGAGAGATGACTTGAGTGAAATCTGGGGAGAAGAACTTTTGAAGTTGGAGAGAGAGAACACAAGCGATCACGAGAGACAAAACGTGATCGGAAAACCTGTGCGAAGTGCTCCAAACCTGGAAGATAACGACACGATGCATGAGAAAATGATGGAGCTTGAGCCTCTCTTGGAAGCCTCGGGGGAGCGTAACCTCAGGAGAATTGAGATCACCCATGGAGAATGCCCATGCCACTGTTTGGCGCAAACGGTGTGGTATCCAGATCACAAGAACCTTTGCCTGGTATGGGATATGGAAGAAATCCGGTCGATCGGACTACCGGATCACCGACAGAAGGTGACGATCTTGGTAGTGAGTACGATGTTGGCTCTGAGATGGATAGAAGAGAATATAACGAAGTATCGGGAAGCGGGGACGCCAACGGCTGAGTCAATATACACGATAGACTACAGTAGGAGACTCGAGTTGTTTGAGACTGCGTGCAAGGTATTCGCCATACCAACGGAAGTCAGACATGTCTGGAGCCGTTTGAGGTACTTCCCATGGTTTCGGGCGACGCTGACGTCCTGGTTGTACATGACAACGAAAGATCACATGAGAAAACATCAAAAGGAGTATCGACAGTTCCAGGCCGAGATTGGGCCGGAAGCTTTCAAGAGACCCCTGTTAACCCATCGTAATGCAATCACGACAGGATGGAAGAGAGTGGGTAAAATGTCTAGAGACAATACCAAGGCGAGGGAATCGATACTAGAGGAGGACCTGGCGAAGAACGTGAGCTTGAGCCTGCACAACTCCTTTTGTTTGAACCGGGAATCTAGGGTGAAGGCACTACCCAACCAAGCAAAGAGGTTGCAAGAGCAAAGAGAATGGATGCGATCCTACGAGCAGCTGAAGGCTTGGGAGGAGATTGTGATTAGCTCCGATGATGAAGAGGAACTGTTGAGACAGTTTGCCGTATCTAGTACTTCAGGGTGCAGTACCTCCAAGGCGAAGAGTGCGAGATGAGCAGGTGGCTCGAATGGATCTTGAGTCTTGAGAGGAAAAGGGGAATTGAGCGGGGATCCGGGTGAAACCTGGGTTCACGAAAAAGAAATTTTAACAAAACAAGATATTGTTATTAATATGCTATATCTATTATATAAACGAAAATGCTGCATGACAATTTCCTAATTGAATGGGACAAAAGAAATTTTAAATTGGCTTGAAAAGCGAGAATTCAAGGGTGCAGGTGTGTGCAGATTTTGATTGCTGTTTAGCGATAGTGTGAAAATTTTACATGGCTGTGAATTTTGGGGTGTAGATAAGCTTAAGTCTGCTGCAAACTTCTGTAAATGACCACTGGCACTGTATCTTGAGTAACACTCGGTTTTCTGGGACTCACTGACAGAAGACAGCACGCGATGAGGACATCGATCTCGAGTCCGGGGAGTATGTGCCAGTCGGTCATATTTGGAAGTTTGACCTTGAGAGAAGCAAAAAAACACTTAATTTTGGAGTAAAATTTAATTTTTCAAAATTTCGAATGGAACCTGTCATGCAAGATTTTCTCGCGATAACTGAAAATCAGAAAAGAGAAGTCAGAACAATCGAGTGACAATCGCGGGAAAGTTGCTAGAAAAATCAGTGGGAAATTGCTATTCGCAATTTCAGTAGCAGTAATAATCGAGAGTAGAGCTGTCCCATCTAAAACAGAGACGAGCGCATTCCCACGAACTGGATTGTTGTGATTGGAGTATTATTCTAAACTGGACTAGAGTGAACCTTCGGTTGAAAGGTGGACAGCTAGAGTGTCCCAATGGTTCACGAGAACTTACAGTCTAGAGTAAAAACTTGTTCTTGTTATTAAAACTGACTAACATTAAACTCATTTTAGTTACTTTAATGATTCTTGAGTTGTTCACCGACTTATTTACTTCCTGGTTCTTGAGCGTGCTACAATGTGAGTACTAATTTAAATTTCTAGAGTGTGTTTTATAATTGTTATGTTGAGGTAAGGCGAGTTTTAGGTTGATCCATCTGAAATGGATCAAAGTTCCACTGTCTAATAAAAAGTAACTTAACGGATTGTTCCGACCCGGTTTTTAATGGCGTTCATGTATTTTGGGTATCTAGAGACCTAAGTATGGGGACGTTTCTAATTCTAGAGTGGGGGGATATTTTAGTAGTAGCCTTTAAGCTGTAACGGGTCGTAGTCTCATGTCACAAGCGAACCGAATTGGCTCCGACTGATTTGAGGTACAAAAACACAAGAGATAGTGTCCCTGACTCTTGAGCCAATGGTTATAGGGCCTATTTTTCTTAAGCCTCATGTGTGACTGCAGTAGACGAATGTTACATGGAACTTTGATCAATTTCAGATGGATCAACCTAAAACTCGCCTTATCTCAAAATAACAATCATAAAACACACTCGAGAAAACTAAATTTGGAACTCACATGTCGACACACTCGAGAATAGGGAGTAATTAAATTGATGAGCAACTCGAGAATACTAATCAGTTTTAATAAAGGAAATAAGTTTTAACTCTAGAATTGAAGTTTTAGTCTGAACCATTGGGACACTCCAGCTGTCCACCTTTCCGTTGAAGGTTCACTCTGGTTCAGTTCGAATAATTGCACTCTTCTCTCGTGATTATCTCGCCTCCTATTTCAGGATAAGACGGCTCTACTCGTGTCTTATTTTGTATCTGGAAATTGCGAATAGCAATTTCCTGCTGTTTTCTTAAGTATTTTCCCGCAATTGTAAATTCGGTCGTTCTGATTTTTCATTTTGTGTTTTCAGTTGTTGTGAGAAAACTGAGCATGACAGGCTCCATTCGAAATTTTGAAAAATAAAACTTCACTCCAAAATCATGTATATTCGTGTCCCTCAAGGTCAAACTTCCAGATATGACCGACTGGCACATAATTATTGTTTTTTTTTCAGCTAAAAAGGAACGATTTTCATTTTTTTAATGTTTCAATTCATGAGTCGGACAAAACTGTGTTTCTAACGTTTGTTTTCACGCAAAAATTAAAACAAATTTATGATCATTAGGTTTCCTTGGGATTTTTTTTTTGAGAATTTAAGTTGTTTGGTTGTGTTACTTTTTTTCTCCAGTATATCACTCGACCCATTCCGATGATTATTCTTGGTACATGATTATATATGGAAAACAAAAAACTAAAACCTACCTTAATCCAAAGTTCCTCCCCATTTTCATTGGTCGGAATAAAAATTCGGGATTTATTCGGTGTTTTTTGGTAAGATGCTCAGCTTTTCCTATTTGTTCATACTTTATTTTTGAAGAACCCAACAATTATAATTTTACCCTGGCTTTAAGATTTTTGCGGTTTCGTTGATGGTTTTGAATACAACATCCTTATTTGCTATCATTGAATTTCTAGCCTTCAATCTTCTATCATCTGGGACGCCACAAGTGTTATTATGTTTTTCAGAGCTGGATAATGAACTTGTTTTATCAACTCATTTGTGTTGTTCAATTTGTTGCATGTATTTACTCGCATACAAATAATTGGGCTATTTTAGTTGATACGAGCAAGTTTTGGTTCAATTATCGACATGTGGCCAACGTGCTATCAATTTATAGAAGCATTAAGCGTCTAGGAATTCCTGATAGCCACATCATTTTGATGCTAGCGGATGATGCAGCTTGTAATCCTAGAAACCCTCGACCTGGTAATTATCATTAGCTTATTTTGATTCCTAAAGCAGTTAAGTTAATTAACTGAGAAGTTCTCACGAAGACTCAAAAAGATACCAATTTTTTGCTCAGCTCTACCTACACTTAGAAAATAAACCGAAAAGCTACGAGGAGAGTTTTTTGGATGCGAAAGCAAATGATATACGAAACGCGGCATTTTTAATTGTCAATGATCGAAGTAAAGACACTTAGTTAGAATTGATAGAGCTTCAAAAAGTCATATATATTTCTTTTTCAAATATCAGTCTTTCGATTATCTAGAATTTTTTATGATTTTTTCAAAGAACTTATTTATAAAAACTAGACAAAATTGAATTTCTCAACTCTATGGCGTGAGTTGCTCTAAGGGTATTTTCAGTTGCTGTAGGCTATGCATCCAAATATGATTGCTCAAATCCTTTAAGTTTCCGAGTTTTGACGTTTTTAATGATTTTGTCAATAAAAATTTTATGATAGTTTGTAAAAAAGAAATTATATTAATTTTACAAAAGTTGAATATCTCAACTCAGTAATTGGGTGGTGCTAGGGTACTCTCAGGGGTTCTAAATCTTGCCTCAATATATGAATATAACGTTTTTCAAGATAAAAAATTTTCACATTATTTAGATATAAAAAACTCAACAAAATTTGATATTTTCAGTTCTATAGTGTAAGGTTTTCTCATAGTACTATAAGATCTTGCAAATCATCTCTCCAAATAATACTGCTGAAATATTTTAAGTTTCGAAGACCTGACGTTTTTTCATAAATTCTTGAAAAATTTTCATAAAACTTTATTTGAAAAAACGTTACGAAATTTTTAATTCCCAACCCCATAGTTGGGTGATCTCATGGTACTTTCAGAAGTTGCAGTTCTTTGCTTCAAGTTTTGACTGCTTTAATAATCTTTGTTACTGAGATATGCCATTTTTTTATTAATCAAAATTTTACAAAAACTTAATGTTTGAAAAAACTTAACAAAGTTTGAACTTCTCGAAATTATGATGGGATGCTGTTGAGGCACTCTCAGGAAGTTTTTATGTGTTCATGCGGACTCTGAAGATGACTTTTCATTGCATTTCTTTTTCCTAGATGTGAATTTTGATTCATTTTTCATGATTTTTCAAAAAAAGTCACTTAAATTCCAAAAAAAAAAATTTTCATCAAAAATTTGAAATCGCCGTTGGATTGGTGGGGTTAAGTCAGATTAACACCAGCAGTTGCAGATGTGGTCTTTACCCAATTTTTATTGCTTAGTGTGTTTAAGTTGTTGAAATTGACTTTTTTTCGGATATTTCAAAAATTTTCATTAAACTGATCAGTTGAACTAAGAAAAAAAATCTGTTTGAAATAAAAAAAGAACTAAATTTAACAACCTTAGTTAAAACAGTTTCTTTCAAAAATTCATTGATTTTGCCAATGAATTTGTTAAATATGGAGCGATTACTTGTATGCCGTCAGCCATTCTAAAACCCAGTAGCTTCAGAGATTTGACCATTGAAATGTTTTTGTTTATTTTTTTTACGGTTACATTTCTTTTGTTGTTGTTTCTTTTTCGTTTATTTAAAAAAAACAGTTTTCACGTTTAATATTCTGAAGCACCGGAGGTGCGTTACACGCTAGTTACTTTTGATTTCTGAATTCAAGTTTGTTTAAGCAAAAAAAAAATTACCCCTGAGATAAGCGAAGGTGTTGCAACCGGGTACAAGTCTTTTTTTCCATTAGTAATTTTGTTCTCAGAATTATTCAAAAGGTAGTAATCTCCAAATCTGTATTTTCGCACCGACAAATTTTGAGTTTGTCTGCATTTTGAACGCCCGTTCTTCTCGGTTTTTATGTTGGGTGTAAATTTACCAAATCCGATTTCAGTATATCAGTTTTTATTCGTTTTTTTTCTCGTTTTAAAAGGTTTCTGCGGAAAACCGTGATTGTAATAGCGTTATTGCTATGATTTTCTGTTATCAGCCATTTTTTATCGCATAAGTTGAAAACCTTTGATTTGTGAACACTTTTTAGTTCTTTTTTGATTAAAAAAAACGCGACATCGGCTCCTGTCATATAACATTACATTTGTGTTTTTTGTCTATTTTTTATCACAAGCATTCATAAACCGGTTTTGGTGCACATTTATTTTATTGCTTTCAATGTGAATTGGGATGCAATGAGAGAAATTTTTCATCGTGAAAATAGCGTACACTTTGAATGGCAACCCAATGATTTAACTGGTTTGGTGATTTTAGTACACAGCTACAAATTATAGATAGACTTTTTTCGGAGGATTTTATTCATTTAATAAGAGTCGGAACCTTTGCGAAATCAGCAGGAAGGATTTTTGATTTATTTGCACTTGCGAAACATAAGTTCTTTTAAAATTGGATTTTTGGTTTGGAAATGCAACAAAATATGAAAGCTCGAAAATGCTCTACGAATATTTTTGCTATGTGACTGCATCTTTTTTAAACAAGTAATTTAAGTACAAAAACCTTTGCCCGAGATTTGTGATTTTCTGATGTTTTTGCCTCTAAGTTGTCTCGAACGGTTTTCGCCTAGATTTTTTAGCCTTCAATTTGAGCACGGTGGGTTTCTAGCGATGATTTTTTTACGACCAAATTTTATCAGTCTGTGGGCATCGAGAAATGATACCAAAATTGAAGGTCAATTGAGGACTGAATTAAAATGTCAGTAATAAGGTTGAGGGCATAAGACCGAATTTTAATTTTAAAAAATGTGTTTTCAATAGTGGAAGCTGCTGATTTTGTGTTTCAATTTTTTTTATGGCACTTATTAATTTTTCAAGCTTCTGTTTACGCTTATGATTGCTTAAGACTAAGCTAAAGGTGTGAAAATTTTCTCCAAAAATAATCATATTTCCAACAAGTCATTTTTTTCGGCATAATTGTTTTTCCTGAATTTTTTAATCTCGTGTATGCCTCTTTTCGTTTGGGTTCAATAAATGCAAGCAATCAAACAAGGATAGCCGGTTACTGTGCAAGTAGCACAGAATGTTCTTTAAAAAATAAAGTTATTTTTTCAAATTATTTGCTGTTTTTTTTGTTTCGGCGTGCTGTGATAAAAGGAGCTGAACAATAAACTGGGGTTAGGTATATTCGACAGTCATAGAAAAATAAACAAATTGAAAAAAATTGTGAAGAAAAGTTTTCGAATTTGTTCTCGCAGTTTTTTTGAATTTTTATTCCAAAAAGACGCTAAAATACTCAAAGTAAACTAACAAAAAATACTAAAAGTAAACAAAGTTCCTCTCCATTTTCAATGGTCGGAACAACAAGTTGGGAATAAACTAGTTTCAAAAACATTGCGAAATTTAGATAGATGAGTCTGACTGCGTGATGTATTTTTTCGGTTCATCTCTTTTATCAATCGTCATCACCAATCAGCAACAAGTACGAAGTGAATAGAAAAATTAATGAAAAATAATATTTTTGCAAAAAAAGTAAGGATCAAAAATTAACAGGGAGTATCAATCGTACTATACTCGCTGTTAATTTTTGATCCTAATTTTTTTTGCAAAAATGTTATTTTTAATTAATTTTTCTATTCACTTCGTACTTGTTGCTGATTGGAGATGCTTGCTTTTAGCAGAAAGCGCAGACGGTTATGCAGAATGTAGCAATTTTCTTTGATGTTTTTTGGAATGTTTTGTTTTGCCACTACGTTTCACTTTTTTAACTTTGACGAGAGTTTATTTCGTTCTGAGCTTACTGTGATGGTTATGTTTTGAATATATTAGCATTGATTATTTGAAATTAAATGTCTTGAAAATTTACCTGTTGATCCAGTTTTCAAAAAAATTCAATCTCAAATTGTTCTGGAAAATCAAAGAGGTTTAAGGCCGTATAATTTTTTCGAAAAAAGATTCTTTCAATTAGTCTTTTTTTTCTGTTTATTTGCGTTCATTGACTCTTCCAACTGCCTGTTGGCTATGTTTATTCTTTCTGTATCGCAAATAGAGCGAAGCTCCTCTTTGCCTCTATCGTGGCAATTATATTTGTAAAGGCTTGCGAAGGGTTCCGTAGCTTCTGTGTTTAAATTAATGAGTATTTGCAGCAACAATCTACCACAATTCAAACCAGAAGATTAACATTTATGGCGATGACGTGGAGGTGGACTACCGAGGATACGAAGTGACTGCCGAGAACTTCATTCGGATCCTCACTGGAAGAGTGAAGGATGGAACACCACAGGTAAGATACGAAATAGTTTCCAATAGCAGACGAAATTTATCTTGTTGGGCTATTTAGTCAACTCTTTCTATATACAGAACTGATTGAAATTATCCGCTCAAGTTAATAGAAACTCGAATTTTATTACGCGTTTTTCTCAAATTGGGTTGATTTGAGACAGAAGATGAAAATAACAAAACAAGCAAATGGTTCAATTGCTGACAAAACTACATCAAATTGATTTTTTAATGTAGTGTAACAAGGCTTAAGGAGGGCAACTGTTTAAAAGTAAAGTCTTAGTGTCTTAGTTTTTTCGGCCATCAAATGAAAATAATCATTATTTCTACAAAATTGAGGTTTTACACTTTTATAAAACTTGTTGGGCTACATAAGAGGCTCACTTTGAATTAGTTTTGTTAGCAATTGAAACCGTAGTTGGAGATAGTTTTTGGTTGATTGAAGAAACCAAAATTGATCCAAATTGATCCAAAATTTAGAATTCTAATTCCGCAAAATAAATAGCAGCATTTTAATTCCAAGCAAGTTTTATCCTCATAATTTTTGCCTTTTTCAACCCAATTTGTGAAAAACGCGTTTCAAGTTCAAGTTTAATGTTTTGTCCGGTCAGTTTAAATCATCACTGTAATTTTGTCCAAGATATCAGCACCAGGAAATTGATCTACATTAGTTCTGAGCTTAGAGCACCGTATTTTCTGAGCGTAAGCACCCTTCAAAACAAAGGAAAGAAATTCAGGTTCAAAACAAGAAGTTCTGAGCAAATTGATAATTTAAAAGATCTCTAAAACAATTTCTCTCCGCAAATCTTAATGCGAGTAGTTTTGTCTTGAGTTGAGCCCTCAATGGTATCCATTCCTATTATTGGTATCCCCAATGATATGCATCCCCTCGAAAAAAAAATTCAGACTCTTAAATAGGTCGCGATGATTTATTTTCAGGAAAAGTCTTAGATTTTTATCAGGCTCCAAAATATTTTTTTTTGCGGTTTGACTTTTGATTTCTTGTTTAAAGGAAAGCAAACTCAACTATTAAACAGGGAAAAGAGAATTCGAAAGTAGACTTCAATTATGGAATTTCCGAACGAAATAAAAACTTAACCTATTAGTTTAAACTTTAAAAGTGCCAATCATTAAGTGTTCTAGAAATTAAAAGAGCCTTAAGACCATTTTTTCTTTGAATATCGTAAGTTGAGACTTTTTAAAAAAAACAATCTTTGTTTTTTTTTAACATCCAACTGACTTTTTTCCAGCTGTCTGTTGGCTATGCTTGGTTTTCAAGTCAGCTAAAAATTAACTTCAACTACGGGTTTAATTGGTGATAAAACTATATCAAAATGAGCCTTGTATGTAGACCAGCAAGCTTAAAAACGTTATAATCCTCTCAGTTTTAAAAAATTGAATTTCTTTTTGCGTGAAAGCCAAAAAATGTCATTTTTACGACATAAAATTTTTCAAATAGGCGAGCATTTAAGAGGTTAAATTTTTTTGGGCTGCATAAGAGGATATTTTTGATTTTTTTGTCGGTAATTGAACCAGAAGATTTAGCGAAACTTTTGATTAATCAAAAAAAGCCCCGTGCCCCTTTTTTTATGGAAAATTTTTGGCCAAAATGTATTGCGCAACAATGATTCTGCTAAAATTCTAAGCTTGCGTTTTCTTCAGTCTTTGTCCTAAGTTCATCCAATTTGAAGCTTACATAGCAAAGAGTAGATAGGCCATAAAGTAGTCAAAGTTTGTTTTATCCACTCAGAATCATGATAGCCAAATCAAGAATAATTGAATAGCATGGGACAAAACTCAAAATGTAAAATTAAGCCGATTTATTTTCAGCAGAAAAAAATCATAGTTTAAAGAAAATGGAAATTTTTCTTATGTTTTGGTAAATTATTGTAACTCTCTCCCAATACATTTTCGAGGATAAAAGACGCCCTAGATAGGAATTCTTAGCCAAATAATTTATTCATACAATAATTATATTTTCCTAGATTCTTTAGAGCTGTTTCACCTCGAGATATTCATCGAAGTTGCTTTCGGGATTCGACTTTTGGGCGTTCAGTTTTTTCTACAAATTCTAAAACTTTCGCCAATTAACCCCCACTTTTTTGTTCCATCTCGTGTTCCATTTTTGGTAGTTCTCAGGGGAATATCCCAGTCAAAAGCAGTGCTTATATTAAGATGAGCGTAACCACTGAGCGTATCCAAAATTCAGATTTGTACTGAGAAGTTTTTGATGTCGAGAAAAAATTTCTGATCATCCAGACTGATAATTTTGTAAACGTGCAATCAGCGGTCAGGCTGAATAGCCTGAAGGCTCATAAATTCAAGGTGGGATTTTTTTATTATAGCGAAAAACCGAGTTCCTTAAATTTTCGGAAAGTACATTGGGCGTAATGAAACCAACATCATACATAGCCCGTCGTGTCAAATACTTAATTGATTTCCGTCATGATCGCAGTTTCAAAATCTTTCAAGAAAAGTTCGGGCATCAAAAGCCAATTTAAAAAAAGTTGGCATTTTTGGGTCTGAATTTCTAAAAGCTTTTGGTAAGTTTATTCAGTTTTTCTCATGAGAAACGCCAATACGACAGATACTTGCTATGATTAACATCTCCTTGATAAAGTAGAAAATCTTTGTTGTTCGAGGATTTTGCCCATGCATTGTTTGAATGATTTGTCAAAACTTTAGGGTACCGGGGGTAAATTTTTTTCTCGAGTTTGGTTCCTTGTTCTTCGTACTTGTGTATGTGGGCGGTAAAAACGGTCTTCGACTAATCAGAATTTAGAATTAAATTTGATGGCCGCTCGACTAGCATTAAAGTCGAAAACGTAAAAGTGTAACCACTAGCATAATTTTCATAGCTTAATTTTTTAGAAGTACAAAACAGCAATCTTAATCCATTCAAATTGAAGCTTGAGTTTTTGAGAAAATTCAAAATTGAAGCAAGCAAATGAAATTCCTTAACATATAAAGTCGAAAACGTAAAAATGTAACCACTAGCATAATTTTCATAGCTTAATTTTTCAGAAGTACAAAACAGCAATCTTAATCCATTCAAATTGAAGCTTGAGTTTTTGAGAAAATTCAAAATTGAAGCAAGCAAATGAAATTCCTTAACAGATAAATCATGATCAGCCACATCCCCACATGTACTGTCTTGAACCTGAAAATTTCGTCGATCTTTTTTTTAGGTCGACCTAGTTGATTTTCCAAGCACTCTCAGAACACTATGAAGACCCTTTATTCTTACAACAAATTTTCAAAAATACCATCAAAAATGCCATTTATGGGCACTTTTTGGAAAGTTTTTACCAGAAAATTTCGTTTTTTTTTTGGCGCGTACTCTCATTAAAAATTAGTATATATTGGCGTCGAAGGCGCCTTGAGAAAAAAATTTTTGGTTTGGTCGGCCCAAAATGTTGACATAAGAGATTTTCAGCCAATCAAAGTCGTGCGTTTTTTATGCAGCGTTTAGTAAATTTAATTTGGTCTAACTGGTGGGTGTATTTTTTGTATGTAATGAATTAAATTTCGTCAATATTTGAATGTTGTTTCAATTTTTATGCTAATCGATACGATTTTCAATTTTTGCGCTAGTCGAGCTTTATGCTAGCCGTTAGATCGCCTTAAATTCGTTTACGTCAGAATTAAAATTGTCTTCTTTATGACCGGTATGAAATAAAGGTTGTCTACTTTTTAACCGCACCTCCAGTTTGACAAAGGCGTCTTTTGAATTTCAAGTTTTTTTCGTGTGTCCAAACAATTGAAATCAGCCCTGTAACGAGGTAGTAATCTTTCATAATGTGCTGATTGACAAATAATTGATTTCGCTTTAGTCGAAACAAATGCTGCTGGACGAGAACAGTAACGTGCTGGTTTACATGACTGGTCATGGAGGAGTGGGCTTCCTGAAGTTCCAGGACACCCACGAGATATCTGACCAGGAACTGGCTGATACATTCCAGCAAATGTACCAGAAAAGACGCTACAAGTCTCTTCTGTTTGTGATTGAAACTTGCAAGGCTGCCTCCATGCTCAGGTAAGAACGTGAAAGAAACATGCTCAGTTGATAACGTGAAAGTTAAAAGGTAGATAAGCGTCACCTGATTTTGTATTAAAGCAACCGCTTGATGGTTTAGAGAGGGTTGCGCTGATGGATCGTACTCCTTCAATTGATAGTGGATCAGTCGGTTGAATTGTTTCGTCATTGAACTTTTCGAATTGTTGTAGTCTCTTATCTTGTGATGCATCTGTTTTATTTGTATTTTTTCAAGTTACATCTACTCTCCGAATGTGATTGGCTTTGCGGCTGCGAGAAATGACGAGGACAGCTACAGTCACCACAGCGATCACACCATAGGAGTACATGTAATAGACAGGTAAGTCACTATTCCACTTCACTTGCTTCGTCAGCTGCATTCAAAATCCAATGCCTGAAAATTAGTAGGGAGTGACGGTGAAGTGGTTACGTCTCCGCTTCTCAATCAAAAGGTCGGGTGTTCGAGGCCCACCATAAACCATTCTCGTTGCTTGAGGGTGAGGCAAAATTTCCTAGCTCGGAAAAATAACCAAACAGATTGCATGTTTATCTTTACCAGGGGATTGCATGTATATCTTTATATCTTAATGGTTCTCCGTGAAGAACTGAACAGCTCGTATGTTGGTCCTTTCCCTTGTGGATAAATCATCTTATTAAGAGCAATGAACAAAGTGAGTACTCTTATATAGGTCTTGGTGATTTTTTTGTTTTTTTTTTAGGAAAAAGTCTTAAATTTGTTCACGCTCATTTTTGGTTTTTCGCGGTTTGACTTGTGGTTTCTTTTCAAGTTCGGTGCATTTCCATTGTTAAAAGGAAGGCAAACTCCACTCGAACAGCAAAAGTGTGAAGGTCACGGAAAACGTGATCGACTTTTAGTTTCGAAAATCGAATTTGATTTTTAGATTTCCCTGCGAAATAAAAAAAATTACTTTTTGATCCAGTTTTGTCGAACTGTTTATTTTTTTTAATCAAAAAAGAGTCAGACATAAATTGTTCTAAAAATTCAAAGAGCTCTAAGGCCATCTATTTTTTTTCGAAAATTGAGATTTTCTTGGAAAAAATTCTATATTTCACGGTTTGTAGTTTGACTTTGATTTCTTTTAAGTTCAATTCCAAGAAAGTTGATAAAAACAGATATATTTTTCTGTTTTGTCCAGTTCCTTGTTAATTCTTCAATTTTCTGTTGGCTATGTTTGTTAACTTCTTGACAATGTGCATTAGTTACATAATTTTGTGGTAACTTTAGGTTCTCACATTACATGTTGGAGTTCCTGGAGACGATCGACTCCTACAGTAAAGTGACTCTGGCCAAATTCTTCGATTGCTGTCCCTTCTCCAAGTGCCACTCACACACTGTGCACAGAACAGACCTCTACTCAGGCACTGTTAACATTCATGTTTCTTGGTCTATCTATACTCAGAGAAATTTTCTTCTTAAGATTTATGCATTTTTAAACAAAAGGTATTTCTCCGTAAATGATCAGATTGAGTTGTTTTTCAAAATTTTCTCTCGTTGATCAATTTTTTGAGCTGATCAGGAATCTTTTTGAAGAGTCGAGGAATCTAGCTCAGACTTTTATAGGTCGTAATGCTTTTTTAGTTTTTTGAGGAAAAGTTTTAAAGTTTGTTCAGACTTTTATTTACTTCTTCGAGGTTTGACTTTTGATTTCTTTTTTAATTCAGTTCAATTACGTTGTTAAAAGGAAGGCGATCTCCAATATCGAACAGCAACTGTAAAGGTCATGAAAAACGTGATAGCATTCTAGTTTTTAAAATTGAATTTAAGTTTCAGCAAAATTCACTTTTTGATCCAGTTTCTCAAATTGGGTCAATTATTTAACTGTCTATTGTCAAGGTTTTATTAATCATGGCGAAAAAATTTATAAAATTTATAGCTCTATCTTCCTTTGGGCTGTAAAGAATTGAGGGTGGTTTTAAAAATCTGATATAATTTGTGGAAATTCTTTCAGGAGATGCCAAAAGTGTCCTGGTGACTGACTTCTTCGGTAGTGTGCGACCAGCCGAAATTGTTGAGTCACCTCCTCAGTACAAAACGATTGATGACCTTTTTGATCGAAATATGTTCACGGTTTATCACGAAGAACTTGAGTTTCGATCACGTGAAGAATCGCGCAAAAATGTTAAAAAGATCGAGAAAATCAGTGAACAAGTGAATATGATTGAACGAAAAAAAACTGATGACGGGACCTGGTTCGCAGTCTTAGTCTTCGGAGGACTCCTGATCTACATTGGGGTTTCGGCGTATGAAATTAACAGTCGACATAAAACTGCTTCTTTTGAATTCATTCCACATGGTTTAGTTTCTGCTACGTGCTTTAGTCCAGACCAGTAATTTTGCTGAAAGAATCAAAAACTAAGAAAACAATCAAATGAAATGAACGTATTCATGTGACATGAACAATTAAATTGCAATAATTATTAATTAAGAGTTCTGATATATGATTTGTTTGTGCTGAAATTTGTGAAATGGCAAGGTGAACTCATATTCAATGCCGAGCTTTAACGTCATAAAAATAAAAAGAATTAAAAAATCTTTTCAATTCAACAAGTTTTTTTGCTTAAACCTTAAAAAAAATTCAGCTAAACTAGCAAGATTAACTCCTAAATTTGTGCTGAAGTTAATTTAGGACAACTTTTCTATGATGAAAAATAATAAATAGTTTTAAAAATGATTCACTGTTGGACACTATTTTTAAGCTGACATAATCAACTAAAACCCTTGCAATAGCAAACGAAATGAATTCAATGCAAACGAAATAAATTTTTCCTTGTTTTTGTTTTGTATTTTATTTTTTCAGTAAAAAGTCTTTGAAGTTCGTCACGCTTAATTTTTTTTTGTTGTTCTGACTTATTTAATTTTATGTGGTAAATGAATTTTTCTAGCTAACTTAACGCATATTAAGTTAATTGACGCAAGTTCCACAGCGGATAATAAAACACTAATAATCCCGAGTTCTCAAATTGGGTTGCTAATGAGTTTTTCTGTTTCCACGATTCCATTGACATCTTGTTATAAGTCTATTGGCCATGGTTATCAAAGTTTGGATGGAGGATTGGTTTTTAGCTTAGCTTCATAATCAATCGAACTAGTTAACTAAACAATTTTTTTCTTTGGAATAGAATACTGAGAATATAAAGCATATTGGAATTAAGTATGTGCTCAGAACTGCAATAAGCTTTTTTTCCTTTCAAAACTTTTCTTTTTCCGGGATACATTTTTCCGAAATTTGTATATGCTTTACCATGATATCTTCGTACAATTAATATATTTAACCCTGCGATCGGCAAGAGCGTTGCAACTACGTACTAGTCTTTTTTCCCAAAAGTTTGTTCACAGAATGGTCAATTTAGTTGGAATGGCAAATTTCATGCGCAATGGCTGAAATACTCTATTTCTTAAAAATTTAATAGAAAAATCTGGTAGGTAGTGAATCGACGGATCTTGTTTCAGGCATTGATTTTTTTTAGAATATCTCGAAAATGCTGAAATTTGTTTCAGATGAGTTGTTTTCGTCCAAGTTTCCGTTGATTCATTTAGTTAAGACATAAGTTAGAAGGATTTGTTTGAAGAATACGTCTTAAAATCTTATCAAAATCAAAGTTTTCTAAAGAAAACGTTGAAAATGAAATTGTAAGAAGAGTTAAAGATTTTCAAAAGGTAAATTTGTTTTCTCAGCATTCGTAAATTTCACAGGAAAAAAAAGAAATGGCGTATTTCAAGGCAAAAAGATATGACGGAAGTTGAAGTTCGTCACGCTTAATTTTTTTTGTAGTTCTGACTTATTTAATTTTATGTGGTAAATGAATTTTTCTAGCTAACTTAACGCATATTAAGTTAATTGACGCAAGTTCCACAGCGGATAATAAAACACTATCAATCCCGTGTTCTCAAATTGGGTTGCTAATGAGTTTTTCTGTTTCCACGATTCCATTGACATCTTGTTATAAGTCTATTGGCCATGGTTATCAAAGTTTGGATGGAGGATTGGTTTTTAGCTTAGCTTCATAATCAATCGAACTAGTTAACTAAACAATTTTTTTCTTTGGAATAGAATACTGAGAATATAAAGCATATTGGAATTAAGTATGTGCTCAGAACTGCAATAAGCTTTTTTTCCTTTCAAAACTTTTCTTTTTCCGGGATACATTTTTTCGAAATTTGTATATGCTTTACCATGATATCTTCGTACAATTAATATATTTAACCCTGCGATCGGCAAGAGCGTTGCAACTACGTACTAGTCTTTTTTCCCAAAAATTTGTTCACAGAATGGTCAATTTAGTTGGAATGGCAAATTTCATGCGCAATGGCTGAAATACTCTATTTCTTAAAAATTTAATAGAAAAATCTGGTAGGTAGTGAATCGACGGATCTTGTTTCAGGCATTGATTATTTTTGAGAATATCTCGAAAATGCTGAAATTTGTTTCAGATGAGTTGTTTTCGTCCAAGTTTCCGTTGATTCATTTAGTTAAGACATAAGTTAAAAGGATTTGTTTGAAGAAAACGTCTTAAAATCTTATCAAAATCAAAGTTTTCTAAAGAAAACGTTGAAAATGAAATTGTAAGAAGAGTTAAAGATTTTCAAAAGGTAAATTTGTTTTCTCAGCATTCGTAAATTTCACAGGAAAAAAAAGAAGTGGCGTATTTCAAGGCAAAAAGATATGACGGAAGTTGAAGTTCGTCACGCTTAATTTTTTTTGTAGTTCTGACTTATTTAATTTTATGTGGTAAATGAATTTTTCTAGCTAACTTAACGCATATTAAGTTAATTGACGCAAGTTCCACAGCGGATAATAAAACGCTATCAATCCCGTGTTCTCAAATTGGGTTGCTAATGAGTTTTTCTGTTTCCACGATTCCATTGACATCTTGTTATAAGTCTATTGGCCATGGTTATCAAAGTTTGGATGGAGGATTGGTTTTTAGCTTAGCTTCATAATCAATCGAACTAGTTAACTAAACAATTTTTTTCTTTGGAATAGAATACTGAGAATATAAAGCATATTGGAATTAAGTATGTGCTCAGAACTGCAATAAGCTTTTTTTCCTTTCAAAACTTTTCTTTTTCCGGGATACATTTTTCCGAAATTTGTATATGCTTTACCATGATATCTTCGTACAATTAATATATTTAACCCTGCGATCGGCAAGAGCGTTGCAACTACGTACTAGTCTTTTTTCCCAAAAGTTTGTTCACAGAATGGTCAATTTAGTTGGAATGGCAAATTTCATGCGCAATGGCTGAAATACTCTATTTCTTAAAAATTTAATAGAAAAATCTGGTAGGTAGTGAATCGACGGATCTTGTTTCAGGCATTGATTTTTTTTAGAATATCTCGAAAATGCTGAAATTTGTTTCAGATGAGTTGTTTTCGTCCAAGTTTCCGTTGATTCATTTAGTTAAGACATAAGTTAGAAGGATTTGTTTGAAGAATACGTCTTAAAATCTTATCAAAATCAAAGTTTTCTAAAGAAAACGTTGAAAATGAAATTGTAAGAAGAGTTAAAGATTTTCAAAAGGTAAATTTGTTTTCTCAGCATTCGTAAATTTCACAGGAAAAAAAAGAAATGGCGTATTTCAAGGCAAAAAGATATGACGGAAGTTGAAGTTCGTCACGCTTAATTTTTTTTGTAGTTCTGACTTATTTAATTTTATGTGGTAAATGAATTTTTCTAGCTAACTTAACGCATATTAAGTTAATTGACGCAAGTTCCACAGCGGATAATAAAACACTATCAATCCCGTGTTCTCAAATTGGGTTGCTAATGAGTTTTTCTGTTTCCACGATTCCATTGACATCTTGTTATAAGTCTATTGGCCATGGTTATCAAAGTTTGGATGGAGGATTGGTTTTTAGCTTAGCTTCATAATCAATCGAACTAGTTAACTAAACAATTTTTTTCTTTGGAATAGAATACTGAGAATATAAAGCATATTGGAATTAAGTATGTGCTCAGAACTGCAATAAGCTTTTTTTCCTTTCAAAACTTTTCTTTTTCCGGGATACATTTTTCCGAAATTTGTATATGCTTTACCATGATATCTTCGTACAATTATTATATTTAACCCTGCGATCGGCAAGAGCGTTGCAACTACGTACTAGTCTTTTTTTCCCAAAAAATTGTTCACAGAATGGTCAATTTAGTTGGAATGGCAAATTTCATGCGCAATGGCTGAAATACTCTATTTCTTAAAAATTTAATAGAAAAATCTGGTAGGTAGTGAATCGACGGATCTTGTTTCAGGCATTGATTATTTTTGAGAATATCTCGAAAATGCTGAAATTTGTTTCAGATGAGTTGTTTTCGTCCAAGTTTCCGTTGATTCATTTAGTTAAGACATAAGTTAGAAGGATTTGTTTGAAGAATACGTCTTAAAATCTTATCAAAATCAAAGTTTTCTAAAGAAAACGTTGAAAATGAAATTGTAAGTAAAGTTAAAGATTTTCAAAAGGTAAATTTGCTTTCTCAGCATTCGTAAATTTCACAGGAAAAAAAGAAGTGGCGTATTTCAAGGCAAAAAGATATGACGGTGACGGAAGTAGGTAATTAAAAGTGACCTATTTCTGTTTTCCGCAATTTCTATGGTATTCTTTCCAATTGTGTAAAAAATTTGCATGACAAACAAAGTTCGGTGTACGATATTTTTTGTGTAAATTCTTGTTTCACTGTGTTCGATCAGCAATTGCTTGTCTGGTTGGCTTGCCTTAATTTAATTATCTTTTTATTGACTTTTAAATCATCGGGTTGCCATTTTTTTTTTCATTGACTCAATATATTTTTCCTAGTCATACTAATATTGGACATTCCGTTGTTTAAATACTATATTGGAGTAATATTTATTTAATATTGAAAATGCTCAAACATTGGTACATAGTGATTGAAATTTGCATATTTCCGGTAGAGTTTCTGCAGATTTAAGCCTATCTCGTTATGTTTAATTTTCATTTTTTGTCGTTTTTTTTTGTATTCATAATTATAATCAGATATTTTTTTTGCTTTCTAGAACCCTTTACAGAGCTGAGAATTCTAATTGATATGTGATTCTATAATATTTTGAAAGTCGATATATGGAAATTTGCTTATAAGCCTTTTCAGAATTTTTTCTATCATTCCATCTATTATTTTTCCCCTTGTTTGATAATTTTTGATGTATTAGGTTTGCATGTTTTTGGTAAATGAAAAGTTGAGCTACTTGTACAGAAAATTGTAAAATTTACTGTATTCAAAGTTTTTTCGTACTACTTTTTCAGCACCACAATTTTTGTTAAAGCAAACAGCCAGCGTTCTAGGCTCCATGTATAGCAAAAAAATAAGAAGTTCAAAACTAACACTGAAAGAGTAAAATTCTGTGCTCCTTGTTCATCAGGAACAACATTTTCAAATTATGCAAGAAAAATTCAGTTTTCACTGTGCACAGCAAAAAACATTGTGTTAAATACTGTTCTTCAAACATTTTATTACTACTTGTACAAGAAAAATATTAAACGTTTTCTTTTAAAATTGTCCTTTTCATATTTTGTGCTAGTTGCACAGCAATATTTTTTCTCGAAGAAATTTAGTAAACATGTAAAATTAACAGTCTAGGAAAACTAACAGTTTCTGATCAAAAATGTAAAACTACTAGCAAACGCGTAAAACTAGCAGCAAAAAAAGGTACCAAAATGCAATTTAGACTTAGGACTTTTTAAAGTTTTCTTGAAAAAAAACAATTATTATAGTAGCATTTTTTGCTGCTGTTTTACATATGTACATCAAACAAGTTGTACGGCAAATAATGTAACAAAAAATGCGAAATAACAGTTCCAAATTTTTTGCGCTTTTTATATAACCAGTTAAAACTTGACAAAATGCAAAAAAGACTGTAAGAGTCACGTTCTGTTTACTTGTACCACAGAAAACTTAAAGCTCAAAATTGCAAAACTACTCAAGTCGTAACATTCTGTGCTATCAGTACAACTGGAAAGATTTTAAAAAACTAAAAACCGCAAAACTTAAGATTGTGCTGTTTTACAGTAGAAAAAAATCTAAAAGTTTCATTAAACACCGCTAAACTTATTAAAAAGTTTCATTTACTGTTATGATGTGGAAGTCCTCCGACGGCAACCTCTGACTTATTATCATATCCAGCATTTGCGGCCCCGTGAGAACAGTCAGAGTGTTGTTTCGGCAGGTGAAGATCTACAGACTTGCAGTTTTGGTACGCAAACGGTATGGATCAAACAAACACCGACCGTCGTCACTTCAGCCGCGACCACTATCCCACGATTGCTGAGCTTGTCTACGTGGATGAAGAGGGTTTTTATCGAAGCCACACATTCATTAAAGAAGGACGGTCTTTTGTGTCTCCTAAGAGAGGCGATAAGCCAACTCCGCGGAAACGACAAAATGATCGCTGGTTTAATGGAATTTTCACGTGTTGAACCTTCAATACACCAAACGAAAGATGAGATAAAATCCATTAAAGAACAAACTGAAAGTTCGTCAACTCAACAGCAACCTTCGGCACAAAGTATGGAAACAGTTCTAAAAGAGAGTCGTGTTACCATTTGCTAAAAAAATTGATCTGCTCAAGTCAGTGGAAAATTCAACGCCCCCGCCAAATAACCAACCGGTGAGCGGTAATTACGATGTCCAATTGCCGAAACAGCTAAGAATCGATGGAATCAAAGAAGCTGGCAGTGGGATTGAGACTACTGAGTATGAAAATGACAAAGTGACTAGCGTCCTTAATCACGTAGGCGTTAATGCAACAATTAGCAATATCACGCGATTGGGAAAATTCAACAAAGACCGAAATCGACCTCGGACCTTGCTGGTCACATTATCAAATGTCTGGGATGCACGATTAGTCATGTCACGAGCGCCTAAACTGAAGGAATTGGAAGATAAAATCTTCATCTCCAAAGCATTGAGCGCTTTCGAAAGGGATTGTGAGCGCAAGATATTATTGAAACGAAAGGAGCTGATAAACAACGGCGTGGATCCTGAAAGTCTACGAATCAAATCGCTAAATTTGTTTCAAGACAATATCGAAGTTCAACCTACTGATTGACTAGAAATGCCTCAGAGTGATATAAAACTGCTGCGTTTCAATGTTCGCAGTATCCTTGCGAAAGATAGGCGTGATGCTCTTGTGCGCGCTTTGATCCCTTCTAACTTCTATGTCATTGCCTTAACCGAAACATGGTGGACTCCTGATTTTGCCGACTCCGCGTTGCCTTTGGTAAATTTTCACTTGTACCGTAAAGAGAGAAAAACTACGACACACTCAAAACATGGAGGTGTTCTTTTAGCTGTTAACAACAGCTTAAATCACATGACAATAAATATTGTGTACGAGTGCGAGGATGACATAGTGAGTTGTTTGGTTGAGGACGTTCTTGTGTTTTGTATCTACAACCCACCAGCTTCAAGTGCCTATAGGTGCTCAATAACAAAATGGGAGTTCAATAACAAAATGGGAGATGACATCATCCTTCAAGAAATGTTATCATCTTTGGCGATGCTTATCTTGTTACTGTTAATTGGAGTACATAGGACTCAACTGATAACTATGAGAAGTCGGTTTTGAATCTTCTCTTTGAGAAAAATTTCCAGCAGCTGGTTGACTTCCCCACAACAACGTTGCATACTCTGGATGTCGTCCTTGTAAACAGCGATTTCATTCTCAATGTTGAGCCTGCAACTGACTTTACCAACGCATATTCTGTTAACGAGAAAGCTGCCACTGACCATATTGCTGTGAAACTTGCTGTCTCGTATGCCCCTAGTCAGGACATTGCCGTTGATGAACGGCCACATCAGTTTAGCTGTTGTCGCGGTGACTTTGATTTGCTTGCCGCCCTTATTGCTGAAAAACCTTTTCAAGGAATTTGTTGGACCAATCCAAATGTTCTCCTGACACAGTGGTAAGAATGGTTGCACGAGCATATTTCAACGTAAGAACTCAATATCGCAGTTCACTGCCACCCTGGGTATCTCAGGCAACTTCATACAAGTTGAAAGTCTTGAATACTCTTGAGAAGCGTCTCAACCAAAACCACTCCGACAAATTACAATGTCGCATTCGTGTGCTGCAGTTTACCACCTGTTTTACACTGGAATAACATTGAAGCAAACAACCCTACTAGTATTTGTAATCTATTCAACCAGTTTTTCCAGTCTGTTTTTTTCCAAAGATGTTGCGAGGGTTCGTAATATGTGCGGTTCCTTCTTATTGACTTCGACGTTTCCGAACATAATGACAAAAACCACCAGGCTAGACGTAAGCAACTCCCGCGGTCACAATAACTTGCCACAGGCTTTATTCAAGAAGACTCTTTCCCTTCGCAAATCTCTTAGTCACATTTTCAGCTCTATTAAGAGAACAGGTTGCTTTCCTTCGCAGTGGAAGATTGGGAAAGTCAAGCCCTTGCATAAACAAGCTGACAAGCGAATGGCAAACAATTATCGTCCTATCACATTATTAGACATTGCATCCAAAATCCTTGAGCGCGGTATATTTGACGAATTGTATCTTTTCATTAGACCACTCATGCCAAATTCACAATATGGTTTCCTAAAGCACATCTCTACGATTATCCAATTAATCTGCTACCTAGACGAGATCTATCGCCAGACAGACAACCGTAATACGGTGGAAGCCGTATATATAGATTTCGCTAAAGCCTTTGACAAAATTAGTCACTCTGTCCTGCTTAATAAGCTGCGCAGTTTGAGAATTTCTGGAAGACTCCTAGCAGTTATTAAGAGCTATCTTGCTGACCGTAGACAGTTTGTTAAAGTGGACAAATACTACTCTTCGCTTCTGCTTGTACTTAGCGGTGTACCTCAAGGGTCCATCTTAGGGCCCTTTTTTTCTTACTTTATGTAAATTGATATCCCCGATGGGTTGGTAAATGCAGTGTACAGTTTTGCCGACGATTCAAAACTACTTTTTCGGCACTCCGCTAACAGTTTGTGCCATCTACAAGTCGATGTCTACAGAATCCTGCAGTGGTGCAACGACAACTGTATGATGTTACATCCTGATAAATGCCACCTTTCACCTTTCTCACAGCGTTTTTGCACCGTATATGTAGCAGAAAAAGAGCTCACAGTCGTCGACAGCCAGAAAGATCTTGGTATTCTTTTCTCATCCAGCTTGTCATGGTCCCATCATATTGAAAAAGCTTGCAAAAAAGCGCTGGTAATCTTGTTTCTTATTAAGCGTAATTGCTCCATTATTTTATCTCGAGTTCACAAGTTGAATCTATACTGCTACCAATACTCTTGTATGGCTCATCTGATTGGTACGCCAACATCGGAAATTTGAAGGCCCTCGAATCCATACAACGCAAAGCTACCAAGTGGATTCTCTTCGACAACGACTCGCTTTACCATCAGCGCCTTATCAGCGTCAACATGATGCCTATTTCTTTGTATATGGAAGTTAATGATGTATTGTTACTGTTCAAGATTATAAATGGGAAATACGATTTTAAGTGGGATGATTACGAAACATTTTCGACTGGTCGCCATAAGTTGTTTGATGTTAAACACGTGAACTACGAAAAATCAAGACACAATTTTTGGTACCGTACATGTCGACTTGCAAATATTCTGCACACATCGGTGAATGCTCTCGACTTCAATGGACTCAAGAAACGACTGCTAAAATACTATTGGAACTTCTTCATGAACAACTACAACGAACTCAACTCGTGTTCATGAAGAATACTGTGTCTCTGTAAAACTTGTCGTCAGTTGACTTTTTGACTTAATTTTGACGGGGAGAAATCCCTTCACCACAATGGTGTAAATACTTTAAATAAATAAATAAATGTTTAATTTATTAGTAATGATCTGATAATTTTTACGAAAATCATTTTGCATGTTCATCAGGTCGTTGTTTTTTTTCAAGTTTGTTTTCTAATTCTGATTTTCAGGTCTTTGAGTGATTGTCTTTTTCTGAAATTTGAAACTTTATCAAATACGGAAGTTGTTACTTTTGAAAACTGGGAAAGTTTAAAAAAACTATCAAATGTTTGAAAAAACACAGTAGTTGAAAACAGCTGTGGTACTATTAGTGCAAAAAAATTGAGCATTTTCAACACAAAATCAAATAGGAACTTTCTCTGCTACTTGTTCAACAAAAATTTCAGACTTTTACAACAAAAACTGTTATTTTGATATCTTTTGGTAATCGCACGGCATAAAGTAGCCCAAAATGATCTTACTATAGTCTTAAACAAACTACAAGTTTTTTCAACTAGTGTAGTTTTGTCTGAATGGTGTGATAAAAGATCTGAACAAAACAATGCAATTTAGGCATATTCGACAGTCAGAGTAAATCGGCAAACTGGACAACAGTTTTTGAAGAAAAATGTATGAATCTGTGCTCGTATAAAACGTTTTCAGCAAAAAAAATTTCGAAAGCATGCAACAATTAGTGTAGTAGTCATTTTCTGTGTTTGTTATGCAACAACAACAAAAAAATATTTTTTTCAAAAAATGTTGGATCAAATACTTTGGTAGTAAGCCTCAGATTCTGTGGGTTGTTTTTTTGGCAAGAGGCTTCGTTTGTTTATGGACTACTCGTTTTTTTTTCAATGTTTTATTTTCTTCAAATACTTTGTTCAGTTTTTCAGTTGGTTTTTTTGTCGTTGTTTTGATCTTTTGAATGTTAAAACTGTTGAGTTGTTGTTTTGTGTTTTACTGAAAAGTTCTTTGAACTCGATTTTTAAAAAGTTAGGAAACTTTATTAAGCTATCTGTGCAGCAAAAAAGAGAAAAATTGTAAAATTATGGTAATGAAAACGTTTTTTGTTAACTTTACATCGGCAAACACTCTAATACTAACAATCTAAGCAGCAAACCTAGTGACAATTTCTTCTAAATAATATTCTCGTAACATTCTGGGCTACTTGTACAGGAAAAAGTATTATTTCAATAAATGCAAAAAAAAAACATTTGATTTACAGTGCCATATGCACAAAAAAAGTTTTTGCTAACAAAATATGAAAATAACCTTGTCTGCTTACGGCAAAAAAATTTTCAATGGAAACTATGGTAACTTTTTT